CAACAAAATACAACGTCAAACTCACTTTAGTCTATATATAAAACATAGAACTTTTATTAACAAAACAAAACAAATAAAAATACACCATGCTATAGGGCAGGCTATGCCTAATATAAAATAACAAATAACTTACATAAAGTTTAAATAGGTATACAAAACTGGAAATAGGCTAAGTAAACATGTATAATATATAACTAAATAAATAAGAAACATAGGACGTTTATTAGCAAAATGAGTAAGAAAGCTTGGAGGCACGACATACACCTTGATGTAAAAATAAATAAATAAATGACACAAAGTTTAAATAAAGTAAAAATCAGCAAACAATGTGGAACCACTGAACTAAATGATTTTTATTGCTATAAAAAAATCAAAACGACGGTGGGGGTCGGTGCCGAGGTGGGCAAGTGACATAACCGGTGTTGCGGCTTAACACCGGTATCACCGTCAGCACCGTCTATCGCGGCAAGCCTAATGTGCATTAAGAATTTATGATGTCTTTTCTTCTCCAAAAGCACCCAAAAGCAGTGAAATATCACCAGCTGATCAGGATAAATGAGTTACATGAAGGAAGAAAACAGCTGTAAGTCCCTAGCCTTTCTAAACTGTCAAAAAAAAAAAGAAAAAGAAAATAATACAAAATAAATTCATTGGACTAAAAGATCTTCTGCATATTAAGAAAAGTTCTTTTTCATGGTATATTCTACTTCAGATGGCAGTATCTTTGCAATATAAATATGCTGTTGATACATTAAATGCATGTACGTGTGGTGAGGGAGTGTTTTCACCGTAAAGCTTTCTGCAGTCTCTGCATGCAGTCAGAAGCCAGCGGATGATGTTTCTTCGACTGTAGAAACCTCTGGACGTGCGGTAAGAGGACGTTACTGGGAGGAAAGAGACCGGCACACAACCAGAGCAACTCCCAGCCCTTCTCCTCACTGTACCTGCACAAACACACAATGCATTTTTTAACAGTCTATTCGCCAAAGAAAAGAAAATATATCACAGTTTCCACAAAAATATGAAGCAGTTTTCTACATTGATAATAATCAGAAATGTTTCTTGAGCAGCAAATCATGAATGATTTCTGAAGATCATGTGACACTGAAGACTGGAGTAATGATGCTGAAAATTCAGCTTTGATCACAGAAATAAATTAAATTTTACAATATATTTAAATAGAAAACAGTTTTTTTTTATCGCAAAAATATTTCACCATCCTACCCAAAATGTTGAATGGTAGTGCATACTGGCAGAAATCACAGCGTCTGGCTATAAACGTAAAGGAGAGACGTACTTGACATGGTTTTCAGTCATTTGTTTGATGATCTGGCAGTAGATCTCATCTTTCAGAGGCTCTGCCTTCAGCGCAGTCTCGAAGATCTGGTCTGTGAGCTCGTTCACAGACCGCGTCCGCTTGGACGGATAATCGCCCATATATTTCATTATAGGTGCAGGAGAGTGGGTCAAGGAACAGTCAGAAAGAAGATAATATCCATGAACTTCTAGAGTTTAGACTCAAAACAAATGAAATCACGTTACTCAATAGCAAATCAAAATTAGAAAAAATACAAAATTATATTTTGGTGAAAGAAAATAATGCCTATTTTAAGCCCCAAGTCAAAAAAAAAAAAGATGAAATTTTATTTTGCTTTAAAAATTATGCCTATTTTAGGGCCCAGGTCATATTTCAGCCCATAAAAAAAAATGTTGCATAAAGAAAATAAAGGCTGATATAATGCCCAGATCATATTTCAGCTCAAAAAAAAAAAAAAAATAATGAAATTATGTTTTGCATAAAAAGCCTATTTTAGGGCCCAGGCCAACCCAAAATCAACAAAGATAATGAAATGATATTTTGCATAAAAAAATAAAGCCTATTTCACCCCAAAATCAACATAAAATAAAATCTCCAGATGGCTAACACAGCACTTCACAATCAGTCACAAGGTCGCATTCATCATCCATGTATCCCAGGTCTGAAGGATATCAATGAAAGCCATGCAGGCCTCCTGGGAAAGCTCCTCATGGCCCACACACTTCTTCAGCAGGGCCTGTTTGATGGGCTCTCGTGTGCAGCACCACAGTTTGTCTCTCCCGCGGTTCTTGGTGATCATCACTCTACTGAGCGTGTGTTTGGGAGGAGGCCTGGATGAGCGGAGAGGGTCAAGGGTCAATGAGGGTCAAAACACATATGCATTTGCATGAGTTAATTATGTGCATTAAGTGACTGCTTACAACATTAGTTATTTTGTAAAGTCAAATATTATTTTCCTTAGAACATGAACTGATGAATCGTGCACAATAAGACCAAGAACAGGGTGGAATTTACATAATAAAATAAAATAAAATAAAGGCTGCTAGCAACAATCCATATTGGAAATTAATTTACTTAATTTACATTTATTTTATTATTGAAAAGCATAATATTAAAAATAGGCTTTATTTTCTATAAAATGTTTATTTAAGCAAAATATTAATTTCTTACTCTTTTTTTTTTCTTACATGACATGGGTCCAAAAACAGGCTTTTATTTTGGGCTGACATGGGCCTTAAAATGGGCATTTAATAGGCTTCAATTACATTTTGCATAAAGAAAATTAAGCCTATTTAATTATTATAATTATTCTTTAAATCAAGAAAGAAAAAAAAGATTTTTTTTTTATTTTGCCTAAAGAAAAGAAAGCATATTTTAAAACCATTAAGTTCTATATTTGTGTCATTATTTTTCATGAGAATAAATTTCATTCTATGTTTAAAATAATAATCATATTTTATAAATTCATAAATAACTCTGTCTGGACACAATACGTTTTATTCTATAAATCAGAATTTAATTTAGAATAACTTAATTTAAATTTTGTTTACTACTTAAAACATCAAGATATTATATAGAAATATACACACACAGATTCTTTTCTATCTTGAATTTAGGCAGAAATATGACATGTGCCTTAGAATAGGCTTAATTTACTTATTATAAAAAAATATAAAAATTACATTTTGTATAAAGAAAATAAAGCCCACTTTAAGACCATTACAATGTTTTATATTTGTCATATTTTTATAACAATAAATCTCATTCTCTGTATAAAATAATAAATAACCCTGTCTGGACACAACACTTTTTTTCTATAAACCAGAATTTAATTCTCTTTTTAATTGTATTTAATTTATTCGACTTACATGTATTTTCATAATGCAAACACAGATGGTGTAGAGACATGAATGGTGTCCCTATATATACATATATATATATATATATATATATATATAATAGCCCTGTCTGGACACAGCACTTTTTTTCTATAAATCAGAATATAATTATGTTTTTTTATTTTTTTTATTTAATTGACTTAATTGACATGTATTTTGTTATTCGAGACGGTGTGGGGACAATGTGGCATCAGAAGTGGGGTCGTTCACCTGAAGTAGTCATAGGAGAATTCCTCCAGCGTGTACGGCTTTGTCCTCTCCTCCGTCTCCATTACAGGAACATGGGAAATCCGGATCGACTCCTGCCGTTGGTCTGGTGTCATGGTAACCAAAGCCTGAGCCGTGCAAAAAAAGAAAAGCCGTCGAGAGGGCAAAAGAGAGAGAGAGAACATGAGACAGGGACAGAGAATGTGAGAGGGTTTCATAAAAGACTGCAATAATAAATATGAAACGCCCCCTGCAGCTGAACATAATATTATAATATCAGTACCACGATATCAGACGGAGGTCTAACGACTGTGGGCAGCACATAAACACAGTCTGCAGGGAAGTCTCCTCTCTGTTTGGTTCTGTCGTTGATCCCGTGAGCCCAGCCGGATGTCATGACCTGCTCGCCCGTGTCCTGGTCCAGCAGAATGAGGTCACCTTTCCGGAAGCTCAGGAACGTTGAATCATCGCCGGCTGATCAGGATAAATTAATTACATGAAAGAAGAGAACGGCTGTAAGTGACACTAACTCTCAAAGAAATGCCTGCAGCATCCCAAATTAAAATTAGTAATTAAAAAACTGAATTAAATTCTGATTTTCAGACAAAAAGTATTGTGTCCAGACAGGGAAATTCATTAATTTAATAATAATAGTATTATTATATTAATATATATTAATAATTAAAATAATAAAAAAATATTAATATTTTATACTGTGAATTTGAATTTTTTTCTCCTTAAATATGTGCTTAATTGTCATGAAAAATATTTTTTAAATAATGGTTCTAAAGTAAGTTTTATGTTCTTTATACAACATATAATTGTATATTTTTCTGTTTTAGTTTGGGCTGAAATATGATCCGAGCCTTAAATAGCCTTTATTTTCTTTATGAAAAATTACATTTCATATTTGTTCTTTAATTTTGGGCTGACATGGGCCTTAAAAAAATCAGGCTTTATTTTCTTTATGCAAAATATAATTTCATATTATTTTAATTTTGTGCTGATCAGGACCTTATACATACGTACATACATGCATACATATTATATAAATTATAATATAATATAATATAATATAATATAATATAATATAAAATTTCTTAATTTTCTTTCTTTTGATCTTTTGAGGTTGAAATATGACCTGAGCACTAAAATAGGTTTTATTTTTCTTTAGGCAAAAAATATTTTTATTTTATTTTATTTAGATTTTAGGCAGAAATATGACATGGGCCCTAAAACAGACTTCATTTTCTTTATGCAAAACATCATTTCATATTTTTGTCTATTGATTTTAGGCTGAAAAATGGCCTAGGCCCTAAAATACGCCTCTTTATGTAAAATATATATATTTTTTTTCTTTTGGTAGTAGCTGAAATATAATCTGGCAATGCATTAGTGAGATTCACCCATTTAAGCGAAAGCAAAAGTATAAAGGTCCATTGATATGATGTGTTTGTGTCTTTTTCTCTAACCTGGACTGGGGTTGTCCTGCAAGGCCACAACAAACTTGGATCTCTTCCTGAGCCCCTCTAGGAAGGTGACCACCAGGTCCCGTATGTCCTCTGCATTACTGGAGGTGAACGTGTACTCGTTTCCTTTGATGGTGGCCAAAGTGAAGCTCTGGGCCTGATGCTTCCCTCCTCTGACAAACACAGAGGCTTTTAGCTTCAAAAGCTCAAATCATGTGGAAAAAAAACCTCCAAATGAATCTCTGTGAAAAGCCGTACTTGCTGCTGGACACAGCAGTGATCTCCGGGAAAGAAAGCTCCAGAAGAACCTGCTCCTGCTCATCCACGAAGTAAACGCCAGTCCAGTTTACAGCCACGATCACGTCATTCTTGGGTAGACTAGGACCTTCAGAAACACAATATACTAAGCATAAACACCATCTGTAAACATACAGCACACAAACCTTGTGCAATATTAATGTGACATCATTTGTGGAAAAAAACATACCTGAACATTTAAAGGCCTCATAGAATCTTGAGAATAACAAAGGCCACTTATAACGAGCAAAATCCACGACTTCCTCCTTCACTTTCTGAGGGTCGACCCTCTTCTGGGTGTAGATGCCCTACAAACACAACATAATGGGTTACTAACAGCTTTGTTGATTTCATCACAGTTAAAATATATAATTGTTCAGAATGGCATACTACCTACTAGTTTTTGAAAGAAAGATGTATACAGTGTGTATTCTGTGCTTAATATTCTATATGCATGAAACACTTGCATTTGCCAAAATGTGCAGAGTTCAACCAAAGTACACAGTGAAATACAATGCATGTGCTGGAAATAACGACAGTAATATCAACCGTGTTGTATAGCATCTCATTCTTGACTCTTAATTTGATCAATGCCAAAAGTAAGCAAATTTTCACAAAAAAAAAATGTAAAGGCTAAATAAATCTTTATTTTTGAGCTGATAACTTGTTGAATCTAACAGAAACATGTTTAGCACACATTTCATCCCCAAAATCAAAACAATAAATAAGAAGTAGTATATATTAAGGTATATATATATATTTTTAAATGTACTTTAAAATAATGTCAAAAATAATGTAAAAATATCAGTGGTCCTAAAAAAGGCTTAATTTTTAATGCAAAATATAAATTCTATATTTTTCTCTTGTTTTTGGGATGAAATATGTCCTGGGCCCAAAAATTTAATTTATTTACTTTTTCATGCAAAATGTAATGTTATATTTTTTCTGTTGATTTTTAAACCTTTTCATGACAGTCAATTTCATTCAGATTTTCCTCATTGAAATTGAAATTCCTCATTGAGGATTTCTATTTTAAAACCTATTTTAGAATTAACATTTAGATTTTTTTCCCATGACATTTTTATGATAATTAATTTCATTTTCTTATTTTACAGTATATAAAAAAGAATAGGATTTCTGTTTTTATTTCTTTTAATTCTGGGATGAAATATGATCCTGACATGTTTTTGTGACAAGTTTTGTCAGGTTTTTCGTGACTGTACGCCACTTTCTGAACGCAATTACTGAGGTCATGTGACAACTATATAGCACACTGCTCTTTAAAACCCTTATCATTTCATACCACATACTAGTTTTTAAAAAAGCAGGAAGTATACAGTACTGTATAAAATACGCAGAATGCAGTACACTCGTCTTCCATTCCAAATAGCACTATGTGAGTGTTGCGCTTAACTCAAGTTTGGCACCTTTTTGTGTGCAGCCATGATGAACTGAGCCCATCTCTCCACGGTTTTGGCCGAGCTGATCTCTCTGTCGGGGATGTAGGATGGAATAAGACTCAACAGGCGCTCCACAAGGATCTCAGAGCCGTAGTCCACGTAATACTGCTGCGACGCCAGCTCCGCCAGGTCCTCCTCCTCCCGGAAAAAAAGACGAAACAGAAGGGAAAGATGCAGAAAGAGTGCAAGGAAAGTAGACGTGCAAGACAATCAAAAGAAATAAAAGTGGTGGAAAAACAGATAAAAAGCAAAAGAAAGATGCAGAAAAGAGAATATTCCCTCCTTAGAAACACAGTGGGTGATTGAAAATTCAATTTATTTCATTTTCTGTGTCTGAGGTTCGTACCCGATCACAGCGGTATTCGCCGAACTTGACGCCGCGCACGATCTGCTGGTAGATGAGGTTGGTAGCGACGCTGTCCTCCGTCGGGTCGTGCCACGGCGTGAATATCTCCTTCCTGAAGAACAGCCTCCAGGGGGCGTTGCGCTCCTGCGCGCCCTGCTCTTTAGCGTACTGCTCACACTGAGACACGGCGTCCATCACGTGATCATTACCGCTGCCCAGAGACGACACCTGCCAAACACAGTCCTTGTAAAGCCTGACATATGCAATAATAGTCCGAAAAATCTCTTTTATTGAACCTTGGCATGTGTGTTTTTGGCGAGTATCATATTTGATACTCATATAGTGAGAATATGGAGCTCAAAATAATTGTCTTGAAAAATAATGACAAACAGGCTTAATTTTTAATGCAAAATATAATTTCAGATTTTTCTTTTGATTTTGGGCTATAATATGACCTGGGGCAAAAAAAAGGGCTTTATTTTCTACATGCAAAATGTAATTTTACAAAAAAAAATTCTATTAAATTAAAAACTTATTTTCTGTTTTAAAATCTATTTTAGAATATGTCCATGTGATATTTTCAAGGCAATTAATTTCATTCTCGTTTTCTTTATTTAATTAAATAAAAAAGAATCATATTTATTTCTTTTATTTTAATTTGGGGATCAAATATGATCCTGATATGTTCTTGAAGGTTCTGTGAGATTTTCTCAACTGGAAGCACTCCGAAGTGTTTTCTTGAACCTGTAAAGCCTGATGTATGAAATAATTGTCAGAAAAATAGTTTTTAATCAAACCTTTAGACTGAAACGAAAACAAAAAGTTTACATGTGTGTTTTTGTTGAGTATCATATTTGATACATCAGGTTTTTATGGCTCATATAGTATGATATAGTGAGAATATGGAGCTCAAACTAATTGTCTTGAAAAATAATGACAAAAATGTAGAAAATCTTAATTTTCCTAAAATAGCCTTAATTTTTAATGCAAAATATAATTTCACTTTTTCCTTTCGGTTTTGGGCTGTAATGTGACCTGGGCCAAAAAATGGACGTTATTTTCTTTATGCAAAATTTAATTTAATGTTTATTCTGTTGAATTTGAAACCTATTTCTGATTTAAAACCTATTTTAAGAATTTTTCCATGTGACATTTTCATGGCAGTTTATTTTATTTTCACTTTCTTCTTTTAAATAAAAAAAGATCAGTCAGACGACAGAAGACATGTAGCAGATTGTGTGCGACAGGTCTTATGGTAAAGTTTGAACCATTTAGAGGCCTTCAAAACTTGTGTATCAAATATGATTAGTTAAATATGCACAATAATGAAGCCAAAAAGACCTCTTGTTTGTGAGTTTGTGTACCTTATCAAACAAAGCAATGTACAGGGAGAAGCCGAATCGATCCTGGAGGCTGATCTTGTCGGACAGCGCGTTGCAGAGCTCCATGGCTGTGGTCGCTGAGTCCGTCAGCAGGGTTTTTGTGGTTCCGTCCATAAACGTCACAGGCAGCATTATCGGCTTCTTTGATTTCGTGGCCTTGGATGAAATTGTGAAAAGAAGACATCATATGGACAGCTTTTAATTGTGCTCTTTTTTGTCCTGGAGTTTGACGGACCCTAGAGTCACTGTCTACTTTTGTTGCATTGAAAACAGCAGCAGAACTGGTTATTAAAAGAGCTTTTACAATCAGTAAAGTCAGTCATCGATACCTGAAGCTCTAGCCAGGAGGGCGGCTGTGTTCTTGTTCCGTTTGCAAACGTTCTCCTCAGTCTCTCCTCGCAGTAGGGAGCGTAACCCGGAGGACCTTCACTGATGAAGTTCCTCAAGTACTACAGGAAGAAGACAGACACTGAACTTACAATAATGGCACCGTTATTGGTCAAAATGAACCCTTAGAGACCCACTGATGCCAAAGTAATCAAATAATTGAAAGCAATTTAGTAATTCCACTTTTTTTTTAATTAAGTATTAAATTGAATATTACATTTTAAATAATTAAAAAATTAAAAAATTTAAATTTAGAAAATAATTTTTTAAAATGCATTTTCTTTGAGTTTCAAATTAAATTAAATTAAATTAAATTAAATTAATACATGTTCTCTGGCTACAGATACTACTGCTGAATGTGAGTATTTAATCTGTTAATTTAATTGAAAAAATACATTTAAATAACTAAATAATTATTTATGTAATTAAAATGATAGAAAATGAAACATTCCAAAAAAAAAAAAAACTAACATAAACATCAATTTTCTGAATGTTGCAGAAATGCAACAGTGGGCCTTAAATGTTCTTATATTTACACAACAGTAAATCGCTGAAAATATTTCAAATGACTTTTAATGTAGCCTATATAAGGTTTTATCCTAAGAAAGTCAAAGCACATGCAATTGTATAATTCATTTTAAAAGCAGTAAAAGCAGTATTCATTTTAAAAGCAGTAAAATTTTATAACCTTGAAAACCCATAATGCAATAATCTTCAATATCAATATTTCAGTCTCTGAAGGTTCAATAAATACAGCATGCCCGGATTTTAGTAAGTACTTGAATACCAACCAGACATGATTAAAGTATTCGTCTGTGGTTGAAATATTACAGATGCACTAATCACAGAAGAGAAGAAGATTTGTAGTCAAACTTGGAGATCCAAAACATAAAGAGGGACAAACAAAAAGAGCATATAACCAGCGTTTCTCACCTTCACAAACTTCTCAGAGGGAGCGAAGCAGCCGACACACAGAGACATGAGGATCCAGCCGCGAGCGTGACTGCTTTTAGAGGGATTCTGGGTCAGCTGCTTACAGATCTGACAGTAGATCTCATCTCTGAGAGAAACAACAGGAAGAAAATGCTCAGGGCTGTGATCAATATATGCTTTGCTGTGTATTATATTCATAATATTATATTTCCGTATCCGCAATCTGACCTCAGGCCTGGCCGAAGGATGCCGTTGCCGATGATGAAGTGCAGCTTCTCCAGGTTGGATGTGGGTCGGTCCTCCAGCATGCTGTTTCCATGGACTGTGTATTCACCATCATTCAGACGCTTGGTCACCTACAGGACAACAGCAATAACAAACAAAGAGAGAAAAATACTCTAAAAGGCAATATCAGGATTGAAATGATAAAAAAG